CTTGGGGGGGTCCTGACCTTCCGAAGGCAACCCGCTTACATGTTCTAGCGTACCTCCCCCCCCCCCCCCCTGGCGAGCCCCTTGACCAATTGTGAGCGAGCAACCGGAGGTCCAAACATCCAACAAACAGCGGTTGCCCACGCCCTCATACATCCATCGGTCCACCGCCCTTTATGAATCATGGGACCCCCAAAAACACGCAGAATAACACAACAACCGGAGCAGAACCCCTTCCGCGTGCCCCCCCCCCTCCCTACCCCCGCACGGGCGAACTAATAGTCACCTGGACTCCGCACATGACCACACCGTGGCTGCGCTCCACCAGCAGCACAACGACACGCTCGATGAAGTCTTCCACCAGCTCCGGGCACTTCTTCAGCACGCGAATCTGCCGCGGCGAAGGAGCGGTACACAGATCAATGCAAGAACGACAAAACAAAAATCATACACATGCTCTTCGTGACCGTCCTCCAAATCAGCACCTCAAGCAGATCAATGCGAAAGTCGCAGGCGGGAGACGGGGCGCGTTGGCGGGGGGACTACTTCCCAAGCGCACATACAACACAGAAGTCCGTGTTCGTTACCTACAAATTTAGGGTGTCTTTTTTGTTTTGTCGTCGCCCGCTGCTTTAGCAAATGTCACGACGACCAACTCTACCCGCTGCTGTTGTTTGACAATGAAACCAATCCAAACCAGCGCCTGATCCAGCGTAACACTCCCCAACGTGGCCGCCTTACTAAACGAACGATAATAAAGAAAAGATATTAGTTTATCTTCAAGACTACTACCACGTCCTTTGAAGCAGCACCACACGCAGACTCTGCCGCACGCACCGTACACAAAGCGGCCTTCTTCCTCATGTTCGAGCTGGAGCCTGGCTTCAGGTGCTTGTCCACTTCCATGGCCAAGTCTCGGGACATGTCGGGGGTAGCCAGGTTCCCCACCGCACACAAGGCCAGTCCGACAACCTGTGGCATCTGGAAGCGCCAAGATAAGCAAAAGATGGCACACACAGGAATAGAGGATCGGGAAAATGGAACAGCACGCCTATCATTTGGCGATATCCTGACAAACCAAAAACCTGAGAGCTAGATACGACCGAGACATCACAGGCATCATACGCAGAACTAGAGCACACCCCACCACCTGTGGCACCCAATTGGAGTGAAGAGAACACGCGCCTGTGCCACACCGTCCACATGGCACGTGCACAGTGAAGCAGCACGACCGATATCATTGCTGTGTAGTCAAGGTAAAGCCCGACAAAGCACGCGACTTTGCCACGCTGGAATAACGAAGAAAAACACAACGGCCATCGCTACGTGGGAACCGAAACCGAAACCGCGCAATAACGTGGACACAAGTGACCATGTCTCACCGGATGGGACAGGTCGCTCTTGAGGGAGTTGGTCCCCAGCATCAGCACCTGTGGACACGGAAACGACGATTACCAGCATGGGACACCCCGCCCCGGTCGTCTGTCAGGTTGGCTAGGTATGAGTTCGAATCCGACAACAACAGGAACCACAGTAGCCCAATAACCCAGGAAACAGAAAACAGGACGGCGAAACAAAAGCGCACCAGACCGAAGTATCAACTCGACTCCGACAACACAAACCACGACAGCACAAGGGGAACATTAAGCGATACAATAAGAGCGCAACACAACGCAAGCTCGTTCCACGCCATAAGATTTCTTCTGAGCCACGTCGATTGAAAAAGAGAGGCCAGGTTTATCATGAGCACCTCGCAAGCGAAGCGGCCAACAAAAGCAAAACTCGGAAGCATACTCCCACAACAACGACAATAACAACAACAACGACATCATCATAATCAACAACAACAACATGCACAAAAACAACACGCGTGAGCGATCGTCGAACCGAATCCGCACGGATCGCGGGCGACTCTCTCCTACCTCGTCCTTCTCCTGCAGCAGCAGCATCAGGCCCAGGTACCCCACGCGCTTGTCGGGGAAGCCGGGGCTGGCGATGAGCTTGATGCACTCCATCTGCCCGAAGTGTGACGGGTAGCCTGCACGCGTAACGAATTGCGTGGGTCAGATCAGACCGCAACGGACATAATGGTGGCGTCCGACACCCGCTTCCTATCTTCCTTCTCTGTCTCTGTCTCTGTCTCTGTCTCTGTCTCTATCTGCCTCTGTCCCTGCCCCTCTCTCTCTCTGTCTCTGTCTCTGTCTCTGTCTCTGTCTCTGTCTCTGTCTCTGTCTCTGTCTCTTGTCTCTACCTTCCTTCTCTGTCTCTGTCTCACTCTCTTTTCCGACCTCCTGTTGTCGTAGGCCTACTTTAAACACTTCTCATCATTCTTGTCAAGAGAGTGTCCTCAAAACTAACCTTTTTTATCTACCGTAACCCTCCTCCCCCCTACGCGCGCTCCGTCCTCTCGAGGACGCGTGTTCAATGGTTTAACAGCTAAGGCATGCAAAGCATGAGTACCCCCCCACCCCCCCCCCCCCCGGGTGGGCGCCCGCGTGGGCGAGTTCCTCTCCCCCTCTGGTATGAAAAGAACCAATTTTACAAGGGCAAACTTGACACAAACCGTCCTCCCCGAACATGTGCATGTAGAGCAGCCTGGCCACATTCCTCGCCCGGGTGGGATCGTTCCCTTCCTTGAAGGCGGTCCGGATCAGCGCGCCCTCGGTGGCGATGACCGCCCGTTCCTCTGCGGCCGTCTTGCACGACCGCACCTTTCGGATCAGCTGCCGGAGCCTGATAGACATCCTTCCCCCCCCGCCTTCACAAAGCTAAAACGCAAACGCACGCCACGCCACGCGTGCAGCTTGGGCGGGCAAAACCTCCCGCGCAGTTGTTGTTATTGTTCTCCAAACTTCGCTCCCTCGTCCGGGCGACTCCCGCTGTTACGATCCTCCGCGGAACCGCCCTCCGTCAGGCTTTGGGCGTCCACGAGCAAGCTTTGAAGGCCACTTCCTGAGTGTAGACGAGGTTATGCGCGCCGGTGCGGCGGATGCACGCGGCCGCGGGCACGATAGAGTCGAGGTTGGAGAGCAGCCTTCGACATCTGACTACTGCCGTATGCACCATGCAAATACTTGTCTTGTAAGCTTGTAAGCGACAACTTGACGTGGAATATGTGAGGTCAGCCTTAAATCGTTTCCAGCTAATGCATGTAGATGTCGTGTTGGACGGCGGCCAGTGCCGGGTGCATTGTGAAGGAGAGACATGAAAATCATGTGGGAAGTTGCAATTATTGAGCAATCTGCCGTGAACTCGTAAGGTGTTTCCCGCTGTGGCCCCAACTACTAACGCCACCTGCACATGTTGTTTGTGCTGTTGGTGTCTAGGCGTAATCTTACGAGAGGGTAGTTGGTGGTGGTGGCGGTAGGGCACACCTCCGTACTTTTTCTACCTGCACCTCCGTACTTCTTCTAAATACCTTCTTTCGCACGTGGTTTGGAAAAGACAAGAGGGGAAGAGCGCGAAAGCAGGGCACCCACTACAAGAGCCGGTTTCGTTTGCGTAACCGAAGCGTTCGATTGCGGGAGGCGATACACACGCAAAAGTCCTCCACCAGCAGGCACAAGACTCCCGCCAGAGGTACAACAGCAGTCGTAAAAGGCAGCAGCAGCAGTTCGAGTTTAATTCTGCCACAAAAAAAAAAAAAACACGGAACCGGCATCATCGATGTCTCCGAGGCTATGTAGCCCAGAACGATAGAATGCATTGGGGCGGGATAGAACTTGCTTGCTCCCAGCAGTAGCCCAGCGGGCACTCTGGATGTTGTGCACGGATGCCGTTCAGAATCTGCCACAGGATGAGTTCCAATCGAACATACACCCCGAGGGCGGGAGCTCTTCTGTTTGCTCAGTCAAAGATGGACACGAGCACCAAGCAGACAGAACTTTCCTCTTGCCCACACCACACCCTACTAATGCGGGGTAGAATAAAGGCAGCCGTACCAGGAAAAGATGGATGGATGTTGGCAAGCATCAACTGCTGGTCGCACACCCCGTGCCATGGCACCGCACACAACATCCCGCGATGAAGCAAAGCAACGCTAGAGGTAACAAAGGCACACGCGCTTCGTCAGGAGACGCACCTTTTCCACACACACTTGTACGGTCGCCAGAGAGAGAGAGAGAAGAACACCGAGCTCAAAGGGAAACACAGTCACGTGATGAGGTCTTGGGGCTATGGCAGCCTCCGCTGTCTCTTTCTGCCCCTTGTGCCTTGTGCTCTTTGTGCTGTCCGTGTGCAATTGCGGGGCGACACAGCGGAGCGACAGCGGGGGGTCCAACAAAAAGGAATCGCAGTAAGGGCCAGGGGGGGGGGGGGGGTGCGATCGGGGTGTCACGGGGGAAATGAAATTTGAACGGGGACAGCATCCACCAAGCATCCCCCAATCAAAATCCTCTATTTCACGAAATTTCACGAAGGATGGCCCATCAAAAACCTCAAGAATCACGAAATTTACGAAACAAAGAAGAAGGGCCGCAAGCACAGTCCCAAGAACAGCAGCAAACATGAACACACCCAACTCAACGATGAAAAAACCTTCTGGGGGCTGGAGGTAAGGCTTTCCAATCCAAGAACACAAACTGAATCCCGGTGCCCGGACTGGACCTCCCGTTGGAAATTATCAATCAACAACCCGGCCACCCCTCCCTGGG